GGGGAATGTTTGGGGGGGGGGGGGGGGGGGGGGGGGGGGTGGAAGGGGGGGTATTCGGGGATTGGGGGTGACTTTCTGTTTTTCAGTTTAATCGCACGGAAGTGCTGGGCCACGCACCCGAGCCCCATGGACCTTGTCCGTCTTAAAAAAAACGGCGGGAGGGCCCCCGTTTTTTATTCGACGGGAATTTCCATGTCGGTTTTCAGAGCACAACTTAAACCGAGTTCTCAATAGTGAAGCATACTTCTACCATCAATCAACAATGCCTTTCCCCCGGCTCCACCCCCCTCGTTGAAGACCCCAGCTCTCCTCACTATTTGCACAAATGAAATCTGCGAGCTGCTGGCATCCTGGTGCTCCTCTATTCCTTAGCTGTCATATGGAGGTACCCACTGCCTCCTCCTCCTCCTGCTCTCCACACTCTCTGCTTCGTTGCATCATGAGGTGCGAAGTGCAGAGTGAGGTGGACAGCGAACAGGGAGGAAGAGGAGGAAGAAAAGAAGGTGGTGCTTGGGAAAGAGTGACAGATGACAGAGGGTAGAAGGCAAAGATGCTGTCACAGGGAGGGGCAAGAGAGAGAGAGAGAGAGAGAGAGAGAGAGAGAGAGAGAGAGAAGGAGGAAGAGAGAGAGAGAGAGAGAGAGAGAGAGAGAGAGAGAGAGAGAGAGAGAGAGAGAGAGAGAGAGAGAGAGAGAGAGAAGAAGGGTGGATGGCAGTGCATTCCTCATACCTGAACTTTGCCCTTCACTCGATAAACTCCTCGCCTTTCCGTTACGATCTGCCGGTCGTCCGGGAATTTCGATATCAATTCTCTTCTTACATCCTCGTTGTTCACATTATGAACTTGTGACAGTGGAACAGCAAGACAGTTGCCGCTGTCCGCGCTTCCGTCCACCGTTCCTAAGACTGCACGCGAATCGCCGAGGTTTCCAACAAACAACTTGGCCTTGCTCACTACCCCTATGACCGCACATGATCCAACGGTCGCCAGATGCGGTGACATCTCAAAGGAACACCTGACGACGTCCATGAAGTCCTCGTCCGTCTCCAGAAAAGATTGCATAATGTTCTCTTGGGACTCCCCCCCTTGTGTCAAAAAGATTCCTGCACGATATACGTGACACACATGCCTAGCGCTCAGAAAACTTACAGAAAGACAAAACCTGGAAAACCACCAACCATTAGAACCAGGCAGGTACAGAGAGGTCGAGCATTCAGATCCTGTCTGACCTAGGCCATCCAAATTGCATACGCACGCATACATAATTTCATCTATGTAGATCATTCGGATTACAGCAGCAGCGGCCTTCCTCTTCTTCTTCTTCGTCGTCTTAATCTTCATCTCCGTCTTCGTCTTCGTCTTCGTCTTCGTCTTCTTCTTTCTCACCAGGCACCCTTCGTTTCTAGGACCAGTGCTGAAGTATTGATTTTCCCTTTCTCCGGGCCCTCACCAGCAGCAACACCACCTGCATCCAGAAAGAAGCAAACGGCCAACTTCCCAAAAAACAGCACGACTGCACTTCCCATTCTCTCTCTCTCTCTCTCTCTCTCTCTCTCTCTCTCTCTCTCTCTCTCTCTCTCTCTCTCTCTCTCTTCCCAAAAAAAAAGCATCATTGCTTTTCAGAAGGTAATTGATCAGAAGATACAGAAGACCAGAACAGAATCAACAGATACAACACTGCATCTATTTTTAAGCCAAAAGGCCCAGCCGAAACTCCCCCCGAAAGTGTTTTTTATTTTTTTTTATTTTTCTAATTTAAATTTTAGGTTGAGAAAGGTATCGCAGGATCATTATCAAAAAAGAATACAGGAACAGCAATACTTGCTGCACAAGCCAGGAATGCATTTTTCGCTGTCAAACTTTCCTGCAAAAACAAACGCGCAAATGACCTCTCCTTTCCCGCCGCTCCACCCCTTGCCCCTCTCCTTTTCTGGGACAAGCCAACCCATGAACGTAGTACCAGGGCTTGAGATAGAATCATCTGAAGTTGTAAGTTCAGACTCTCTAGCAGCTTATAGTAACCCTGGCACAGAATTTCCTGCTGCCTTTGTACCTCCTGGCCCGGCATTGAAGACCCGCAGTTTACACCAGCACTACATTGGAGCCTTCTTTTTTCCACGGCGGGTTCGCACTCGGCGCCAAAAAAAGACGACCTGGCACGGCGTGGACTTTCTTTGTTTTTTTTGGCTGGCACCGCCAGCCGAACAGATCCAGTAGGTGAACCACCTTTGGACGTGGTGAATTAACCACCGTCGTGTAGGACCAAAACAGCTGGGAGACGTGAGGGTGGTTTAGACCACCGGTGCATCCGAGCCTCTCCCTCTGCACGCCAAGCTTTGCCGAAATGCCAGCGCGGCACTTTTTCCTTTTTTCTTTTGGCTGGTGCCGCCAGCCATTTTGGCACGGTAGCTGTCAGCCTCCAAGCTTTTTGGAAGGAGAGCCAATTTCAGTTCTCAAGTGTACCTCGGCCATGTACTGGTGGTTCAAACTTCAATGATATGAGATGGAAATCACACTTGAGAAGTCACACTCAGAACAGTAGACAAGTCCCACTCGAAAGAGTCGATAAGAGTACCAGCCGGCACAACATTATACTTTAAACCATCCGTACATCGGAGCCGCTTTTTGCTGAGAGGGATATTCCCCCTGCGCGCGAAGCTTTGCCAAAACGCCAGCACGGCACTTTTTCCTTTTTTCTTTTGGCTGTTGCCGCCAGCCATGCTGATCCAGTAGCACTGTTCATCCACACTTTTCCAGATGACTCATTTTCGATTCCCAAGTTTGTGGTCCTGTGGTACAGGGCGGTATACCTGCGGTACAGGCCGGTATACCTGCGGTTTAAGGTGACAAAACAAGCAGTCTGTGATCGGACTCGGCACTGGCCGGTCAGTGATTGGCTGATATTCCAGCCCTCTGCTTATGACAGCGGCCATCCACATCGGGTTTTCCTTCTATGTGTGGTGGTCACAAATAGGTCCATCTAGTCGAGGCTGTCATCTGCCGGACTAGTCCTGGGAACCGCCCCTTGGAACCCTGTACTGCCACGTAGAAATGGCGAGCCAAAAGGAGGCCCGCACCGGTTCGTCTTTACTTGGACACGAAGGGCATTTCCAGCCTCGGGAAAATCAGGCTCAGAAGTACTGGTCCTGGTTTCTGAACCTCACCATTTACCCTGATGAACGGACCGGGATCAGAAAAGGACAAAGGGGACAAAAAGCCATGGTGGACCTTTTCAGAATGAAGCTTCCAGAGACTTGCCCGTGGAAAAGGAATCGGACTGCTGCTCCAGAATAGACGTTCCTGACGCTAGCAAGGTACTGGTGGTTTGAACCGCCAGTACACGGCCCCAGCCTTGCTGAAAAAGAAACTGGTCACCTACGAAAATTTCGGAGGCTCGGCCTACTGGACCACAACAGCTGGCAACGCCAGCCAAAAAGGAAAAAAAGTGAGCCGCTGGCGGTTCGGAAAAGCTTGGGGTGTAGTAAGGCATCTGCAGGCCCGGGTGTACTGATGGTTTAAACCACAAGTAAACACGGCCCCAGCCAAGTACATATGCTGTTGATTCACATTAAGGTCCGTGTTTCAGCAGTTATGGGACCACTGAGCACGCGAGTTTCTGGGCAGTAGCAGGCCAACTCATCACGTGCTTTTCAGGGCTTCCCTCCACTACTCACCAAATGCGCAAAACTAGAATGTATCTTCTGGTAGAACATGGAATCCTACGCCGCCATATGTTTTGTCTTCTGTGCAAGTGGTGACGAGTGGAGCAAGGCCCTTAGGCCACTGCTCGTAGGAAAAGGAAACAAAAGAAAGAGAGGAATGAATCTTCTGCTAGAACATGGAACCATACGCCGCCATCTGGGTTGAATTGAGTATGCAGTGCGCCTCTGATGTTGTGGCCATGCCCTAGTACCTGTCTCTTATACACATCTAGATGTGTATAAGAGACAGACATTGGACCATACGCCGCCATCTGGGTTGAATTGAGTATGCAGTGCGCTTCTGATGCTGTTGCCACTTCGTGGCCTGGTTTCCTCAATGTCCTGGCACATACGATTTTTGACGTCGCTGTACGAGGGAAGACGTTGTGCGACGTCGCTGTACGAGGGAAGACATTGTGTGATCTTGCAGCGGATCAGCCTTGCCGAACACGTCCGGGGAATTATCCCACCAGCATCTCACGTTCACGAGTATTCCGTTCAGCTCAGTGCTGGGCCGGCAACCGGCCGGTTGAGCTACCCCGGTCCAACCGGAGCCGGACCAGCCCAGAGGGGGGTGAACCAGGAAACCAGTTTTGAAAAAAAAGTACCCGAATATCTTTCTTTTTTTTTTTTCGGCAGATTCCGACTGCGCTCTTCAAGAGCTGTCGGAATCCGCAATAAAATTTTCAAGGTGCAATATTTTTCAGAGGGCTTCCAAAGGGGGGCAGGGGGGTATTATTGACATATTCAGGCAACTATGGCTTCCACGGGGAGGGGTCAAGTAAGCAAGTTCACTTATCCGACCCCCCCGGTGGCTGGAGCACTTCGTGGAGTGTCATTTGATATTGATAACCCACGAGCTGAACCAGATATGATGAGAGAAGGTCCTTGCCAGAAGTTATAGCTCTCCCAGAGTATAACTCGATAGCAGAAGAGTTATGGTTCCATCTTTCAGCTCGTTGAGGCAGAGCGTTTTCTGTTTGTTGGTTTCTACATAAGGTGAGTTATCAGTCCGGAAGTATCTCGCCTGGCAGTCTGTGCAGATACATGTAATGGAGCAAGGTCCATTCGACATAGATAGAGAGAAGAATATAGCTTAGGTCCATACTTGGGCTTGCACCTCGGACGGCTCTGACATCACGATTCCAAAATCCGAACCCATAACTTTTTCCACAGATGGCACGGACGTCGCAGAAGGATATAATCTCAGCAGAGCCTCATCACAAGCATAGTGTTCCCCTCGTGGCTGAGGGTGGATGGGCACGAAAAGAAAATGCCATCAGAATCCTCGGGGTGAGACTTACTGGGAAGTTACTGCGTTGGGACCCCCACAAGACCACGGGGATATGTTAGTCAACATGGCAATGGATCGACTGGCAAAATGGGAGGGGTTACACACTTCGCTGGTGGGGCGGGCCCTGGCAATAAACAATGCAATATTAGCGGCTATCTGGTACAAACTGGCTGTCTGGCCGCTAAAGCCCAGAGAATATACCAGGTTGACAAAAGTGCTGGCCACGTATCTATCGAAGAATAGCGCCAAGGACCAAGGATGTGTACACCGAGTGAGTTGGGAAACCCTCACCCAACCAAGGTCCAAAGGGGGGATGGGAATATTGGATCCAAAAAGGGAGAGTGAAGCCTTAATCTTCAAGGTCCTCACTAGACTACTCATGGGGAATGACATTTCATGGGCACCCTTGGCTTGACCACAGATTGCCAACCTGACCCCGGAATCGCTGACAGCTAACACTTTGCACCCTTTCCGGTGGCTGACTAACAAGCATTGGTCGATACCCACCCCCTTGCGACAAGTGCAGGCAGATACCCCGGCACAAGCAGCAAGGATGGACCTGCTCTTGGACCCCTTGTGGCCCTATATGCTCAAACTTACCGATTGCTCTCTACCTTCTGCCATCCCCTCCCTGACAATTGCCTCACCCATCAACGCAAGACCTCCTCATACCCTTAATGACCTGAGTTAAGGACAAGAGTTGGGTGGGTTGCATGTGCAGATACGACGCAGACATCACTACCCATTGGCCCAAACCCTGCTTGCAATACACCCACGGATTTGAAGCATCTAAAAGGCTTTTTAAATACGCGGGAGGATTGAGGGAGGATTGAGTCAGCCTTGCTAACGGAGGTCTAACGGGGAAAGAGATAACTAGGAGAGGGACGATCAAGACGGCTTCCCAGCAATCCCAGCCACCCCATCAGAAGCCTGCAAATGATCAATTCGGGCGAATGGGTAGAGACAAGAACAACAACCTCTCTGCCCCTCCTGAGTGTGCAAAGGGCCAATGTTAAGGAATGTTGAAGGGAATGGTAGAATGTCCAACACAGCCTCCCCGGCCAACACACATCCGAACACGAAGGTGAGCAATGGAGTGTCGATAGCC